AGGGTCACACCCTATGGTTGGGCCAAACAAATATTAAATGAACTATATATAGGTAAATTTGTTTCACATGGATATAATTAAATTTAATATATATTATATTATATTATATATATATATATATATATATATATATAAATGAATTTAATTATACCAAAAAAACATTATAATTATTGTAACTATAATATTGGATAAATATTAAATGAAATAATTATTGTAATTATAGTTCTTTTAACATGTAATTGCAATATATAATTTGGATTAAAGTGTGAACCCAAAATTAGGGTCACACAGACTATAAAAGCAACATAATGGTCTAGCGGCCATTTTGTGCCTCCTACGAAATTTCTTTGAACAATTTAGAGAAATATGATTTTTGCTTACAACTGGGTGAACTGAGTAGAGGTCGAGACATTTTTGTTACATAGTATTTGAATTGTGTGATCGTGATCACATCTCATTTTTCTACATCCACAATCTAGATGAATTAAGGTAATTTTCACATCTCTCTTCTTGAATTTGATTAATCGTACTTGAATCACTGATTTGGATCATCAAATATATATTTTTCACTGTGTCACGTGCTATACCAACGATCCCCCAACATATATGACATTATGATCTAAGAAATTTATTGAAATCATATATAAGAAATTTATTGAAATCATCTCATTCATCAAGAAGCATTTTCCATGCAATCTACCCTATTAAAAACAACAACTAAAGATCATAAAATCTTAACTACAAACTAATTACACAAAAAAACATATTCCACTATCTAGGAGTTTAGACAAAAACACAATTACACTAATTACTTCGAAAGTAACTTGCAACGTCCTAAGTACAATCGAAGAGTTGTCAAACTTATTACCCTGAAATGATTAAACAAAGAGAGTATTGTAAGCTTATATAGCTTAGTGAGGCAGTTAACATAATGCAAAGTAATTAAATATAACATGGCAACTTATCCTTAATACACTTGAGTGGCAAGTGACACATAATGAACATATCATAACATATAACTTTCTTGATAGGAACTTGCATCATCAATTCATAATTTAACGTATAACTTTTTATAACAAGAACTTGCATCATAAATTCATAGTTTAACATATAGCTTTCATGGCAAGAACTTTTATCATATACTAGCTTTTTGTAACTTAGAATATCAAATAATCATAATCAAATTATATTTATTCATTAACTTAGCATTTTTTCTTTTATAACAAGAATTTATATCATATAAAGTCATTATTTGGCCCATTAAAATCTAAGTAGATATGGATACATGAATCCCCAACCAACACGTCGTCAAATAACAAAGAATGATTTCCCTTCAACATCGCTAATGACCAACAACTTCCCTCTAACATCGTCAAATAAGTATCCTAATCCATGGATCATAATCCAAACCCCAACATGAGCTCAAATGGACTCTATGACATGCCAACTATATCAAAACTGAACTTATCATCCAAGGGCGATACTTAATATATTTTTCACATGATTTTTTAGCTTTACACACTAAATAAGTCGTAGCTCCTTATCATTCATACATTTTCTTATCTTGGAACACCAAACGAGTCGTAGCTCCTTATCAATCATAATATATTGTGAGTCATGTTTTCATAACACATTTTTATCATACTTTTATTCTTACAAATCAAATAGGATTTGATCTTCACATAACACATACTTGTTTAGTACAAACATCATGCACATATGAAACTCATCATAACATATCTTGTTTCATACTTACATTCCAACTTAATTTATTACATGCTTTCATATCACACATATCCTAGTTATATAACTTAACATAACTTGTTCATGAAAAACATCATAAAATAAACAAGCCTACCAAGCTTACTAAACCTTTCTTGATATTCACTTTGACATTCAATGCTCTATGTTAGCCCAAAATACATCAATTGAATTCACTTATAAAAAAATGTTAAAATATCGAATCAAAATGACACCGAGTCACCTGTACACACACAAACTGCACTCACCATATACTCTATTTCATCCTACCAATCTTGAAAGCTTGATTCTCTCTTTCAATTAGGAATTTCCTCAATCAATTTCATGTCAAGCATAGAATCAAATATAAAATTAATCAATCGAACATTGAAAACAATTTAGATCAAATTAACTAATTAACATGGAACCTAATTTTTCAAAGAATTAGGCTTTGATGTTCCAAAACCTTAATAATCATGGAAAAATCACCATGAAGCTTATAATCACTTCCATTACAACTTATGATTTATAATTATAAAATCCCTCAAAGCTAGAGTTTATGGACCAAGAACAAATATACTCAAAACTTAATGAAATTAAGACTAAAAGAAATCTAGGATCATGGGCTTATCAAATATGTATTTGGATTTCAAAACCAAAGTCTAATTTGTGAAGAATTTGCCTTAGAAAGCTATGAATTCTTAATGAATATTCTTTAATGGTAAAAAGAGTAGATGTTGAACATGAGAGGAAAAATATATTCTCTCTCATATCCCATGGAGTTGGCGTGAACTACATCAAAATATATCAATTTTCATATTTTTTTAATTAGAAAAATATCTTAAAAATGACATTTGGTGACACCTAGATGAGTCGTCACTTAGAGGATTTTGGGTAAACTAAAGACTGGTCCTTGAACTTTTAACATGCAAAGGAAAGGGTTTCCAAACTTTACTTACTTTAAAACTAGTAATTTCACATTTCTTTTATTTTGGTCCTTATCCATGGAATTTTAAGATTAACCTAAATTACTTTAGGATTTATTCCAAACTTAAATGTATTTATTCGAAAACTTGATTTTTATAAAATAATAACAAATTTTCAATCAGAAAAAATCAGAAAAAAATTACTAAACCGGTTTGAGGGGTGTTACAAAAGTCACCATTTCTACAGTTACCCATTTGAAAATTATGGCATCTACTTGAAAGCGTTGAGAGATCTCCGCTTAATTCATGGCTCTATATCGGAAGAACTTGTTTCATACTCTCACACAGACAGATCTACAAATCCTTCAAAGATTATGGGATGCCTCCATTAAGCAATAAGGATCCATTCAACATTATTATAAGTCTGTAGATGAGCACGAACCAAATTACTTCAATGATTAAAGGAATTGTTGTTATTCTTACATGTCACAGGTTCGAGCACCAACGATAGCAAGGACGGTTGAGCGTTCATTGTCAAATGATTGAGAGTACTTACAACAGATACTACTATATAAACACCTTAGCTTAATAAAAAAATTACTTTGCCCTGACAATGGAGGATAAAGCCCCGGCAATGGAAGATAAAGACATCCTATTGTTTATGCCACAATAAAGAAGTCTTTGCCCATTAATCGAAGATGTTTTTAAAGGTGTTGAGTTATCTTTTATACTGACACAAAAATATTAGGTCACATTTTCCGACAAAAGAGACTAGTTTTAACCTTCAGAGTTACGCTTTATGTTACACCTTCGGAACTAAGCTTTATATATATGAAAGACTGTACCTCCGGAATTAATCAAATAATTTGATTCACTATCATCTTTTGATAAGACAACTAGCAAGCCCAAAAAATCTGATAAAATCCAAATCTACTAACAAACAATTACATTGAACATTTTATTGGCGTACGAACAATAATCATAATCTTAAATATAACACTATTAAATACGAAGAGTCAATATGTAAACCCTAGTAACACAATAAAAAATAAAACTAAAACTATTTTCTTCAAAACTAAAAAGTGGTTTTCCTAAGTATACCTCGATTGATATCTTTATATGACAAATCAATCGTTAATTATACATCTTTATCTAAATTAAAATGAATAGATCATCGTGAATTGACACAACCATCTTTGTTCCATGAACACTATGTCAACTACTCCTAATGGGGCCATATAATGGAAGTTTCTTTCATGCTTCATAAGAGAAATGCATAATAAATCTATATTATTAGATTCTCATTTAATTTCACAATTTTAAAAAATAACAAAGCGATGACCCACTTTTACTTTTCTTAGTGGAACTGGGAAGGTAGACATACGACACAGCTTAGAACATATATAATAGTATGGTGCTACCATATGACCCCCTTCGAGGCCGTCCATTTCCCTCTATGTGCACCACCTGCTACCTAACTCTCCCCCACCCCACACTCGTGGCTCTGTCTGGTCCCCGACCTTGTTCCCTTTGCTTCACTAATTGTTTTATACGTATGAATAAAATATTTGTACTCGATAAATACTTAAATTTAACTTATTAAAAGATAAATATCAAAATTTAAAATTATTGATGAAATTAAATTTATCTTGATAGGTGACATTCTTTTAGTTTGAACATAAATGATGTTTTTCTATAAGAGATGATTAGTCATAAAGATTAAGAAAGAAATTGTATAATGATTCAAGTACTTCTAGTTTTAGTTGGTCGTGTCAGGTATAAAGTCATTATAGTTATTTGTATATCAATAAATTAAACATATCTAATCATCAGATTTTAAATTTCGTTTTGTAAATTATGTGGATCTGTCAAATATATTATTTATACACTGCAGTTGACTCAAAGGTCTATGTCCGGAGGATACATGTTCCTTGAAGATTTCAATAAGTAGAGAGGTTAGTGTAAGAATCATTGCTAAAGGAGAATTAATAGTTGTTAGAAGTCATTTTTGGAGGCATAACAAAAAAATTTATTATATAAAATTTAAATTCGTAAGTTTTATGTTTTAGTATTTAATTATTATGATTTAATATAATAATCATTAATTAGAAACGAATACAAATTTTAATTTTTAAAATATACACATTTCCCACTATTATTTTCTATTTAATGCCGAAGTATGGGGAACCCAACCACGTCTATATAAAGCCAATGATCGAGTCTATTCAAATCATTCATCTTCCAAAGAACCAGTATTATTAAGTACCCACCTTCTCCAAAGCAACCTTAAACCTTCTCCTCCATTTCCCCTCCTCATTGTCTCCTTAAACAAACATGGATTCCTTTGAATTCAACAACGTTAAGGCAGAGAAAGAAGATGCTCTATGGAGATACAACATGGAGAAGAACCTAAGGTTCGGTCTTCAATTCATCGGCTTCTTGTTGGCTTTGTTTTTGACGTCTTGGTCTTTGGTTCCAGACATCTTCGAGGTTGCTGGAGATCTTCGCCTACGTTTCATCAACACTCTCGACGAGCCTCTTTTGGTTTTTCTCGTTTTGAACATCATCATCCTCGTTGTTTATGTTTTGTCTAGCCACAAACAGATCCAGAAACAATCTGATATCTATGACGAGTACGTCCGCTCTTGCCGGGGTATCATACCTACACCCGCCGTTGCTGAGAAGAAAGAAATTATCCTGGCCGAAAATTTAGTTGCTGCTACGGAGACAAAACGTCCCTCCGCGGAGGAGACCACGGTGGACAAACAAATCGTCCCGGTGGAAAATGCGGGTACTGTTGCAGAGACAAAACGCTCCGTTTCACCATTACAAAACCCACCTCCTTCGACGGCAACGAGCCTTACATTGACAAAGCCTAATCCTGTAATAACTTCAACCGATAAAGTCAAGCAAAAAGAGTACCGAAGAACACGATCGTTGGTCACGGAACCCGGAAACCAACGTCCCCGCCGGGAGTTCAAAAGATCGGAGACGACAATGATGGGCAGAGAGAGCTTGTGGCTTCAAGGACTGAGCCGCCACGGAAATCGCTGGATGAGATGAGCAACGATGAGTTTCGGTTAATAGTTGATAGTTTCATCGCTGAACGAAGGAAAAATTTGATCCAAGAAAACTGCAAGTCGATTGTGGTTAAGAATTAAGAGATGTACACAGAATCTTTCAGTGAGTTCATAGGAAAATCTACTTCGGTTTTAGAGTTAGTAGCGATGTACAGTTTAAGGTTTCCCAGATTTTCTAGGAAAGTTATCTTTTTCCTGGGATTATTTTGAGCCTAAATAATTGAAAATTTTATCTGATAATTTTCTTCCAACATGTACGGTTATTTCAACGTAATTTCGACTCCCTGTTGCTTTCATTGTTCATAGTCATGATTAAAACATAGATTTACATTAGAGTTTAAGTCAATTATGTCATTCTCATGGAGTCCACCAAGTTCCAATTTTGATTCTTGTTCTAAAACTCGTGTTTGACTGTTTCATTTTCTACTTACCAAAATTCGGAAGCTGCAATGATGGAAGATAGTGATTGGGATAAGGTTTCGTCGAAGTGAAGTACCCAGCCCAGCACTTATCCACTTTGCTCTTATTATGCGACAGAACAAGGGTTAAAAAAAGAGAGAGAAAAGAGGGTTTTTCCCATTGTTTATTACCCAATCATGTAATGACCAACATTTTGTTCCCACTTTTTGTTGTTTATGATCAGCTTGTCAACACCGGCAACCGTATAAACTATTTATTTCTCCTTTTTACTCCCTAAAAATGGCGGCTTCTTGTAGATGCTTTATACAATTTAACCACTCATTAATAACAAAGTTAAAAATGATATTTGTTTATAAACAACAAGATGTTTTAATTAAGGGCGTGCAAAGAAATTCTTTTTTAAAAAAAATTGTGCAAAGCAATTCTAATATATTAATCAAATCGGTTGATTTGGTTCAAAAATTTAGATATTTTATCTCTTTTCTTTTTCTTTTTGAATAATTCAAATTGGATATTTGAGGAGAAAATGGATAATTGATACATATAATCTAAATTCAAATTTTGAATTATCTAAAACTTAATAAAATTTGAGCCTTTAGAGTTTAAATAGCCTTCAGCCGAGTAAATATGTTTATCTTGAATCTCTTTAGTGTTGAACCTAAGAATTAGGACTTTTAATTATTATTTTTTTATTAAGGATGTATAATTATTTATTGCGTGTGAATAATTAAATATATATAATTAGAATATAGTAGATGTATAGATGATATTGTATAAAGTCACATAATTAAAATTAGCTGGCCCTATTCCCATATGTAAATGGGGTAAGGGGAGGTAGGATAGTAGGCTGCCCCCAACGTCAGGTTGAGAGCGGCTTTGGTGAGAGACCTCCGACAGTCAGAATTATGAATTGCCCACCGTGGGACTCGATCCCACGACCACAAGGTTAAGAGCCTTGAGCTCTTACCAACTGAACTAAACGGGCAATTCCATAAAGTCACATAATATAAAATTTAAATATAGTTTTCGTCAAATTATATTTTATGTTCAAACCCGAATATTTGAATATCTAAATTCTTGGATCCAATAATATTCGATGCTAAAAAATACACACTCCTAGTTTTAATGGAACAATAGACTTATATAATCTAATATGCATTAATACACCAATAAATTAAATAGATAAAAATATAATATTCGTTTTCCATAACAATTTAATAAAAAAGAGTTAATTTGGTTTTTTTCATAACAATATTGTAAGGTAGGACTAATTTATCAATAATATTTTTTATAATTATCGGGTGAATATAAGTTAGTATATGTTTAAAGATTCTTAATCATTTAACAATGAACGATGATACCCCTGCATACGCGATGCTCGAATCCAAAATCTCAAAGGAAAACAATAATCTCTTAACCACTGAAATAGTTTGGTTCATGCTAATTTATAAAAAAAAAATTAAATATCAATAGTTAAACCAATGATTCTACTAATTTTATCAATTATTAGTTTATCTAATGAGATAGAAACATTAGTTCTTTTAAACAATATCTAGGATTTGAATTTTAACGTTTAGATGGAACAATTTGAATTTAAAAACTCATCTATACTATGATTCTTTATGATATTTGACCTAAATTGATCGATTGATAGATTATATACTAATAATTATATAAATGAATTATTATTTTTTTCTTTGTGAAGAATAAGAATTTAATTCTAACCATTTAAAGTGAAAACACGATTACACGAATGATAAATATTAAAAAATTTATAAATATACAGATAAAATGATTGATAATATTTTATGGAATTAAAAAGCGCAAGCTTTAAAAGAGAAGAAAAAAACATATGATGTTGTGATGAGAGATTGACTATTTTCATAAAACTTCAAACTATATCCTATAAATAAGAAACCACGTACTAATTACTACTTAAATATTATTTAAACTTTGTAGATAATTTTGAAATATTAAAAAAATAGTTTTAGGCAAATGACAAAGACATTTACTGATTTATTACAGACAACAAAGAGGGTTCAAAGATTACAATAAATCCATGAGAATCAAAAGGGTTTTTATTTTTATTAAGCAAATAATTAAAACTGCATTATTTGATTAATCAATGGCCAACAACATGATTGATGATAATAAACTTAATCCACATTGAGATTTAATTAAAATAAATATTTGTCCCTACTACTTTTTAATTAGATGCCAAACTTTTTCCAAGTATTTTTATTTATACTTTTGTTGTCGGCCAAACATATTTAATTGTGCTTTTTATTTTGTTAAACTCCTTGAAAATTTTCCCATCTAAAGATTTTAGCCATTAATTAACATCTGGAAATGGTCCGTCAACATGTCATGATCAAACTTTGCTCCAAATTTTTCACCTTGTTTGAAATAATAGTATTCATTGGTCACAAAAGAACCCGAACTAGTACCAACAATTAGTTGGTCTGACATGATGAGTCATTAAACCTTTTAAGTAAAATTAATAGTTCAAATATTGACATTTACGAATTCTTGCAAAATTAAATATAGAATAATCGATCAATAGATTAAAAACATCTGATTAAACAAAGAAAAAAGTATATGACTATGGTATAATTAGGTATGGGAAGGATAGTCAACAATCTCTTTGTTTTTTTATGAGAGTTTGAGTTCAAATATTCTATTTATATAAATTTAATGTTGGAACTATTTTTAAAATATTATGTGTAAAAATTTTGATACGCTATAACACGATTAATATGATGGTAGATTCTTATAATTATGTTGAAATGAAAAAAAATTAATACGAAGTCAACGATCTCTAGAATAAGTGGTTAAAAACTCTTAATTAACATCTTCCTTCTTTCTTTAATTATAAATCCAATATTCAGTATCAGAATTTTTCATTTTTTTCTCCTAAGATAATAATTGTTTAAAAAAAATATGAAAAAAAATATAGAGGAGAGAAGAGGGAAAAGGGTCAAAAATGGCAGCCGTGGCTTTTGCCCTTAGATTAAGAGTTGGCCTTGTCCTGCTTGAGTAAGGTTAGGACAAAGTGGATTAATTCCAGTAGGTGTACCTTATAAACTGCCCTCATACCCAAAATTCTAAGATATTGTTAAAAAAATATAAAATTATTTATTACTGAATTTCGAAATTTTAAGCAAATTCGGATATGAGATGTTATTTAAAAAATATTAAACTCTTTATCATTGTAAACAAATATTAGTTTTTAAAATAATAAAATATAATTAATTTTATAAGATGAAATTTAATAATATGATATGATATTTTCAAATAACATGATGTGTTCATTTGATTTATTTAAGTTACATCAAATCATATTTCCTAAAGTCATTCCTAGGGATGGTTATTAAGAGAGTCAATCGTGAGTTGGATTGTATTCGACTTGTGCTCGTGTTTGTTAAAAAGATTTATTGTTCGACTTGATTCGTTTCTCGTTAAGTTCATTAAAATTTTACTCGACTCGTGTTTGTTAAAAAAAACTTGTTGATCAACTCGTGCTCGTTAAAAAAAAACTTGTTGCTCATTGTTAGTTAAGTTCACTAGAAATTTTACCTTGCTTTTTAGCTAAAGATAAATCTACTAATGCTATATAGAGTTTAATATAAACATAAATCAACAAAATTAACCAAAAATATAATTAAAAAAAAGTGTATGAAGCAACTTCAAAGTCAAAACTCCAAGATAATAATTCACAAATACACCAAACTAACATATTAAAACTAAAGTAACAATCCACAAATACTTCAAAATAGCATATTAAAAACATTCTTAAAAAAATAGAAATTCAACGATACATAACCAATCTTAAAAATAAGAAAATTAGCATCTATTCACTCCATTCATTGTTGCTTGCAATCACCATACTACTAAAAAATTATATTAAAAATTAATGAGATGCTCGCAAACTTATCGAGTTGAGTTGGATTTTGTTCGACTCAATTTATTAAGGTATCGACTCGAACTCGAGTTCGAGTTGAATCAACCCAAGTCAAACATTAATAAAATTTTCACCGAATCGAGTTCGAAGAGCTCACGAACTGCTAAACTCATAGCACCCGTTGTCATTCCTTTTGTTATTTCATTCACTATGGTGATCGAAAATAATATTTTTTGTTGTCTTGGTTAACAAAAGAAAGAGAAGAGTCCTTTCAAGTCGAAGGAAATGGAAAACTGATTGAAAATTAGACAATAAACTCTCTTTTGTTAGAAATTAAGGTAATGCATTATTAACTTTGAAATGTCTTTGTTGAATTTTGGGATAATGAATTGACATGTGGTGGTGTGTAGAGCATGCCTAAATACGTTATTATATCTATATGACATGTGGATAGAATAAGTTTAAAAGTCTTGGTATATTTTCATGCTTAAAAATTGTGTTTTTTTTTTTCAAGTGTTGATTATATAAAGTATCGATATCTTATGAATTTATGAATAAATTTCTTAATAAAAGTGATGAATCGAGTTTAAAACATTAATATTGTCGCCATTTATTGATACCTAATTTTACGTATCATACCTAAGATTAGGGCCTAAATATTTCATTTTTAAAAATTAATGCTAAATTTGGTATTGATATTTTGTTTATACATTAATATTTAGGACAAAGTATTGTTACTAACTATAGAATATAACTATTAGGTATTAAATTTAAAGTTTAGATATTAAAACGGACCGCCGTTAAAAACTTTAGTTTTTATTTCGTTTTAGTACATGTTAAAAATTTAACGTTAAATTTTAAAAATATTAAAATTTGTCAACAACCAAAAAAAGTGAGAAAGCTGTCAAAAGTGGACCAAAGCACATCATCAAAGTCCCAAAACCAGCAAGCTTCATCTTTCTATCCATGCCTGCTCTCTCTGGCAACCAACTTTCCTTTATATTTTGTTAGCTATGTATATGTCATGTGATTTTACCTTCAGGCAAATTGATCGTTGCACTTCCTTTGTGTGTAATTTCCACTATCTTGGAGGGACCCCATAAATCACCAAACCAACAAATACACATATATGAACACTGAGAAACTTCAACATGTGAGGACAATAATTGAGGTTACTTTTAGTAACCCTTCTCTATTTTGAACCATTTTCAATTTCTTTGGTTTAAATGACAAATTTCCCTAAAATGAGTAGGAAGAGGGTAAGAGAACCCTACTTTTTTTATACTTTCGAACTTCAAACAATTTATATTCTCTTGGATCAGGATTTTGTTGTCTATATTTTCGAGAGTTCGTGATGGATTTAAAAAACCAAGACCGCATCAGATTTAGAGTTAATACGACATGCCGAATTAATAAGAAATATATTAACATGTTTGATCATTCCTTTTTTCGTTTTAAATAACAAGAAACATATGTTTTCAAGTATGTTTATATACATGAGAGCATTGTGTTGAGTTGGGTTGCATTATCAATAGTTTAATTTAAAGAGGGTAAAGCATATGGAGAACTTTGATGTTCCTTTTCCATCTCATGACTTTACTAGGGTAAACATGCAGATCATAATATAACTTTGATTTGTTCATTTTGTGTGTGTGTGTGTTATAAAGCAAAGCATATGCGATTGGTTGGGGTCATTTTCAGTGACATAGACTTCCCAACTTCACTCACATAATGGGAAAACATGATCGGTCGAATTTAATTGAATAATTTTTTAAAATTAATCGAGTCGATAAATTATAGTATTTTATTATTAAAATTTTATTTGATATTTTAATAGAATCAAATTGAATATATTAATTTAAATTAAATTCAAATTTTAAATAAATCAAATTAAAAATTTGCATTGGCAATAAAACTAGGGGCTGTTTGTTTGCCTCTTAATGGAACCATTCAGTGTTGAATGTTGAACTATTCAGCATTCAACGCGTTTGTTTCGCACCTCTGAATGATTCAGTGCTGACTGATTCAGCAAAACAGTGCTAAATGATTCAGCACATAAGCACATTCTGAATCATTCAGAGCTAGTTATCAAACAACATATCACATTCAAAGCCAAACCATTCAGAGCCTCTGAATCATTCAGCATTTGAATCATTCAACGCTTAATCATTCTGAAGTAAACAAACAACCCCTAAGTTTCAAATTAAAGCTCATAAATTAGGGGGTATATGTATATATATAGAGATAGAGGGGATTCATTTATACAATTTCTTTGGATAGTTGGATTAATTAAATTTGATGGTTCAAATTAAAACTTTTAAATTTAAAGATGATTCACTTTTATTATTATTTTTCTCTCTTAGGTATGACATTCAATCTAATTAGGGATGGGCAAGGGACCCGACCCGATCGGGTCGAGTTTTTTAAACAAAAAATTCGGGTCGGGTCAGGTCGGATTCGAGTTTAGGGTGAAAAATACCCGACCCAACCAAAAAAATATAATTTTACCTTATATATTTAGGAATAATTACAATAATACTCATTTGTATATTATTTTTTCAATTAAATCACTGTTTTTATTGAATAAAAATAATATTTTTTATCATTTCGGGCCGGGTCAGATCGGATTCAGATTTTATCTCAAAAATCGGGTCGAATCAAGTCGGATGAATGATGTAAAATTTTCGGGTCGGTCGAGTTAGCTGAAACAACCCATACCTATCTCTAACTCTAATGCTAATAGTAGTATTTCTATGATTTTATTTGTCCTATAAAATGCTGACACACGTTAAACTTGATTGATCGAATAAATACAAAGAAAAATAACATATAGATTGTTGATGAAGAGAGAAAACGACATAAAATTTGGAGAGAAAAAATCACATCAACATCTTCTTAATTTTTTAACAAATGGTGACCAAAATAGAAAAATGTAATATTAGTGACTACTTTATCAAAAATAAATTAGTGACTAAAATAAAAAAATGATAATAGATTGGTGAACAATAGTGTAGTTTACCCAAAGAAAAAATAAAAACAGAGAGTGTTTTAATTATGTACGTAAACACTTTGAGCGTGTAATATTAGACCTGCTTCAATAGATTAACATTGTGTGATCCTTCTTTTTCTTCTATAAATTGCCTTAACAATTCTCTCAAAAGCCTCTTCCACTTTCAATCCTCCCGCCCCTTTAGGTTTTATTTCATCATTTCTTGTACCTCTGTTTTTCATTATTTCATCATATTTGCCCTTCAATGGAGGGTTCTCCTTGTTAATGCATTCCAGATTCTGCAGGGAAAAAACCCAGAAATCCAAACTCAAGAAAAATTCTGACAAAGGAAGAAAATCTCTTGATTTCCCTGAGATTTTCTGTTTTCTTTCCCCTGCCTATCTTTATATTTTTCTTCTTTCGTTTTTGATGTTGTAAATCTTGATGCTACATAAATTGTTGGTGTTTGAGATTTCATGTCTCCGGTTGTGAGTGAAATCCTCCGGTCTGGGTTTATGATAAATTCCTCACTCAGACGCAGGACCCATCTTGTTCAGTCTTTCTCAGTCGTCTTCCTCCACTGGTTCTATGTTTTCCATAATTAAACTCTCTGTAATAGAATGACTTTCATTTCATATGCATCTAACACATAATAAAATCAAATATATAAATCTCTAAATCAGCTAAAAATAATTAGAATCCGGGTCCTGTCGTCTTTCATCGGTGAGTTTGGTGTAAATATATAAATATGGCTTCGTCTAGTGGAAACTCCAACTCTCCAGGTTCAACTCTGCTCCAGAATTCAGGGTCTGAATATGATTTGCATCAGTTGATGGATCAAAGGAAAAGGAGGAGAATGGAATCGAACAGGGAATCAGCAAGGAGGTCCAGGATGAGAAAACAAAAGCATTTACATGATTTAATGGTCCAACTGAGTCGCCTGAGGAAAGAAAATCATCAAATCCTCACAAGCATCAACTTCACCACCCATCAGTACTTGAACATGGAGGCTGAGAACTCAGCTTTGGGAGCTCAGATTATGGAACTAAGCCAAAGATTAGATTCTCTAAATGAGATCCTTAATTATTTCAATAATCCCACAATAAGCAATGGGGTTTATGAAAGTGAAGCTTTTGAGACAAGCGCTGAAAGTTTGTCATGCATTTACCAACCAATTGTGGTCTCTGGAGGTATCTTTCAGTACTGATCTTCATATGACATTAGGTGTTTCTGGTTTATTACAATGATATTAAACTCCTCCACTTGTTTGTTGTTTTCTTCCTTCCAATCTTTCGTAATTTATGGTGTTTTCTCTTTGTTGTTGTCTCCTGGTTGAAAAAAAATGGCAAATAATTGCTAATGACGGAAGAAGCATCTTTTGTCTAAAATAATTGCTAATGGCAGTTGACAACCGCAACAATATTGGAAGAATGAGGCAATAGTGGTGGCAAATAATTTCCTATATAACATTACATGCAGAGGGCTCCATGATCCAAAAATATAACATTTCATTGATCAGCCTTGCTCCTTCTCCATCAATTATTGCACTCGAAACAACCTGAATCGGATGAGCAGAAGGTAAAATATGCATTCATTCTACAGGACATGTCACAGAAAACCACCAAGGTAGATTTCAACTTTGTATATGATATGACCATACAAAACAAACCAACGAGAAAACTCTCAAAGCGGCATATTTTGTATCAGTAGAAGCATTATGAAACAGCGATCGGGAAATGAGAAACCGATCGGAGGAGACTTTATTGAAGCCGGGATCCGACCTCTTTCTTTCTTTCGGAGGGCTCTCTTGTCCTACTTTTCAATGTCAACAATTCTTTGTATTTCGGGTTCTTCCTTGTTGCACATTGTGGCTGTCTCTGATCAAAGGATCATAATGGCTTGAGTTGGGAGAAAGTTTTACATGGTTTCTTGAGCGAGACGGTAGTGCGAGTTGGGATAATTTGTGGTTTTAAAAGGCTTTTTTTTTAAAATAAAATAAATTAATTAAATCACTCCTTAATTCGTTAAAATAAGCATCGGCAATTACAATAGCAAAAATGCAAGGAGGAACTACGGTTTCGAAATAGAAAAGGTCTAGCAGTAAGCGAAATAGAAAAGGTCTAGCAGTAAGCGAAATACAGTTAGAGCTAGTGCATGTGCCTCGGCATTTGCCTCACAACGCGTGTAGCAGACAGTCACCCGCGGATGAGCATCAAGAAGCCGGCCAGCCTTGGACAGGTAGAAACGCAGAACCGAGAGATAAGCGTGGTGATTCTGCAACTGTTGGATCACATTCAAAGCGTCGCGCTCGACTAAGGCAATCGGGAACTCCTTCTCAATAGCCATATGAACACCATGACAAAGTGCTTGCGGTTCAACAAGGCTAGCAACAACTGGAGACCTGCCAGGAAGGACGGAACTAACACAACCACGCCGAATCTGGAATTATGGTATGATTTAAAGCTTTAATCAGAATTTTAATATTTTCTCTCAGATATGAAAGTACACAAGCTACAATTCACAACCACTTTATTGTAACAACCCTAACTAAAGCTTAAAATCATCCATAATTCCAGATTCAAAAGGTTGAAGGTCTACTTCTCCCATAATTCCATAATTCCAGTTTCTTGGCCTCCATCAATTTTCTCACAGCCCGCAGTTTCAAGTGAATCATATCATCACCAAAATAACACAATATTCCATGCATCAAGTCTCAAGGTTCTTACCTTCATGAAGTCACCCTGAATGGCATAATCATGACCTGCACGAAGGGCAAACAATCCAGCCTCCGTACAAACATTTCGTAGATCGGCACCATTAAACCCTCAGAGAGTTTAGCTACAGCTTCATAGTCGATTCCACCACGCTACTCCATAGCCGTATCATGAATCTTGAGGATCTCCAATCATCATGACCTGCACGAAGGGCAAACAATCCAGCCTCCGTACAAACATTTCGTAGATCGGCACCATTAAACCCTCAGAGAGTTTAGCTACAGCTTCATAGTCGATTCCACCACGCCACTCCATAGCCGTATCATGAATCTTGAGGATCTCCAATCTCGAGTGCTCGTTCGGCAATGGAATCTCTATCTTTTTGTCCAGCCGTCCCGGACTAAGAAACGCAGGGTCGAGAACGTCAGGCCTGTTGGTGGCCATGATCACCTTAACCTTGTCAAGCTTATGAAATCCATCAAGCTAATTAACTCCATCATTGTTCTTTCGGTTTCACGGTCGCTACCTGCCCCTTTACTCGAATGGCATCCACCGATGGCATCGATCTCATTCATAAAGATGATGCACGGCTGAAAAAAAAAAGAAACACGCCCACACACACGCATTAATGCCTTGTACCAATAGAAACACGCATAATTCAAGACTCTTACTTGGTGATCATGTGCATAACTGAACATTTCTCTTATCAGCCTTTCACATTCTCCAATATACTTGTCGGCTACTGCAGTCGAAACAACCTGAATTCAGATGAGCACAAGGTAAAATGCATTCATTCAAGGATTTCCAAGTGAACACAAAGATACAAAAAATCGAATATGGTATTGAAGTCTGACCATTAAGAAGGCAGCATCAACATTACTTGCTATTGCTCTGGCTAACAATGTCTTGCCAGTACCGGGAGGGCCATAAAGGAGGACACCCTGCTACCTCATCAAAACACCACTCAACCACACCACCCTTCACCCGTCAATCCAAAGGCAAGGAATGTATAATCGCCTTGGGAGGTTTAATTCCAAGTTTGAGGAAAAGCTTAGACTCAGGAGAGGGAGCTCCACACAATCCTTCAATTCTTGAATTTGATCAGATAAACCAGCGAGAGCCAAGTAGCTAATGTTGCCTGGATCTTCTTGCACCATGTCGTAAAGACCTGGATCGACCTGTGATCCAAAAATGTACACCAAGATATCAGAACTCAACAATAATTTTCTTCTGCGAAAATTCGGATACAAATAGCTTACTTCAGGTGGAAGATTAGGTGTGATTTTAAGAGTCGCCCTGTCATGAACCAGTCTGGTTTCTGACGTCAGTGTCTCAGTATCGACATTGCTTCGGCAACGAACCACAACCTCTCTGGTTCCTGAAGTGAGTGTTGTCTTATTGATTTCACTTCCGCAACCACCTAGATAGCGTTCAACGTCATCTACTTCAAAAAGAACTAAAACATCATACAGACATTATCAGTTCTTGAAAAAAAAGAGTCAAATAATATTGAAACAAAAAGGGAAGGTGTAGTTACAGCGTTCTTTATCAAGAGGCCTAATAACTTCTCCAACAAACTGGCCTGCAGTCTGAAGATACTTCATATTGTCTTCCATCGTCTCGAATTCCTTCTTAACGGCATGCAGAACCTCCATAGCTGAGCATTCATGACTCATGAGCATAAATACATGTCAAGAACCGAATTACATTTCGAGAACATAAAGATTTTAATAAATACTTCGTAATTATGGTAGCCAGCCAAAGCAAGAAGCATTCTTTTGTTTATCAGTCGATATTGAAAAACAAAGCAGCGGTCGAGAAATGAGAAACTGATCGGAGGAGACCTAGTCGAAGCCAGGTTCCCAAGTCTTCCCTGTCAAGGGCTTTCTTAATGTTCATCGCTGCTCGAACGTCGAATGGTCTCTTGCCTTGGAAGAAAGCTTTACAAGGTTTCTTGAGATGGGATAATCTGTGGTTTTATAAGGCTTAAATTACATTTTGGTGCTTCTTAACTTGCTAAGCTAAGTAGCTAACCGCTCAAACCTTTTTTTAACTAGTAATCAGTTAATTAAATTTCGGTTAAATTCTTGTTTTGACCCTTTATTATGTTTAAATTTGAGATTTAATACCTATGCTTTAATTTGTCCTTCAATCCCATCCATTCTATTTTAACATTTTGGTGTTTTCTAAATTGTTGTTTTAGGAGTGAAGCCTCCTAGGTCAATTTACTGCAATTTGGAAGGACTGTTTCTTGTTTTATTTCGATTAAGCAAATTAATTTCTCGTATAAAAAAAGTAATTTAATTTCTGTCGTATCAAAAAGTGAATAATTATAGGTAATTAATCACAACTTTAATTTTTTTTAATTAATTTTACATATTTTTTTATTCTTAATATTTATATTTTTTGTTAATTTGATATTGATTCTAAAAAGTTTAACACATTATTTACACATTATATTAATATTGAGAATTAAATTGATATAATATGTAAATGTTGAATGTTAAATTTATTATCATGTTAATTATTTTTGACAAGATAGAAGCCGTTAATTTTATTAAAAATAGAAAAATATAAAAAATTATAATAAAAGTTTACAACTACAATCATAAATTAAAACATATAATAAAAACATTTTTCCTATAATTATTAACACAAGAAACTAGCCACTTAAGATCACACAAGGTCCAACTACAAAAAAAAAAGTTAAAAACTTAACCAAATAATCTCGAATAAAAGGTAGATACGAACAAATATGACTGCATCAGCAAACAATCACAAAATGAGATCAAACTATTGAAAGACCATCAATAAATCACAAATCATAATTGAACGACATGAGAAAACTATTCACGAACGCAAATTGCATATCCAAATCCAATCTGATGGTCCAAACAAGGAAAATCAGCATGATAACAAATTAATGTCATCCTGATCAGTCATAGCTATGTTAAATTCAATCATGAGAAAAAAGTATAAACGAAAATAAAGGTCAAACGACCGAAAACATGTCAAAAGACAAAACATGCCATAAAGGCAAAGGAAAACAAGTCATAAATACAAAATTATTTAAAATTAAAAACAAAAAAAATAAAATATGACCTAATAAAACAAAAAAAAATAATGAATATCGACAATTGATAACCAACACTACGGTTGATGTCATTGCCAATTACAAAAATGAAGAAAAAAAAGATTAACAAAGACAAAAAGAAGAATAAGTATGTAAAATTAATATATATATATATATATATATATATATATATATATATATATATATTAAAATGATGATTAATTATCATTGATTGATCACTTTCAAAATTAACATAATTAAATTACTTTTTCTAAAAGTATAATTTATGTAATTTTAGAATATAGAAAACCGTAAAAAAGCATTTTTTTACTTTCAAATATTATTTGATAGTACGAATCAAGTGACCTTAGTAGTTAAAAGGATTATTATTATTCTTAAAGGTCACATGTTTGAATATCAACAATTGCATTATATAATGTTCATTATCAAATGATTAAGAATTTTTAAAAC